GAGGCCGGCAGAAGGGGAATGCCATCTCTAAGCAGGGGATGGCCCACTGGATAATGGACGCCATCCCCCTGCCGTATCAGGCACAGGGTGTGCCCTGACCATTTAGGTTGCGAGCTCATTTAACTAGAGTGTTGCATCCTCCTGGGCGCTGGCTCGTGGCGCCTCGTTGGCAGATATCTGTAGAGCTGCAGGCTGGGCGACCCCTAAAACGTCCACTAGATTCTATAGCCTTCGTGTGGAGCCGGTATCCTCCTGTGTTCTCACCTCAAACGGGTAGAAGCACTGAGAGGCCCCGGCTTCGGGTCGGCTTGCTAAAACCACTCCAGAGAGTTCATATAGTAGACCCTGTTGAGCTCCTCCGTCCCCTTGGCAGCCAGACGTGGCGGAGCGTCCGGCGCCAGGCCTTCACTCATTGAATCCTTGAGAACCGGTAGAAGGCTGGGTTCCATATGTAAGACCTAAGTGGATCCCATATGTGTAAAGTCCACGGTATAGCCTCGAGCCCGTGTTTCCCCGGCAGACTTCTGCCATTCCAAGAGGGTTACAATCACCTCCAATCTTCCATATGCACCTAAGGAATATTCATATGTGTATTTCCTTCCGAAACCTCCTTCGGGAAGGTTGGAGCTTCCATAATGTCCCTGTTCCAAGTAGAACGGGTATGTTTTCCCAGTTTTATCCAGTCTTACTCATTGGGTAATGCCATAGCAGCAGTAGCTGGTCCTCTTGTGCAAGCCCTGGCCCATGCCAAAAAGTAGGGGCGCAGGTGGCTTCCACAGGACACTGGAAGGGGCCGTACCTGTGGCCCTTTGTTAGGGATCCCAATTCGTCGGTCATCCGACGTGACGTCGAGAGTCACCGACTGAAAGGGAATGTCTCGGTTACGTATGGTGACCCTCGTTCCCTGAAGGAGGGAACGGAGATGTCACGTCCCGTCGCCACAGCTCCTGTACCACCGCTGAGCAGCCGGGTCACCGGCTCGGCTCCTCAGCGAAAACCTGAATATGCATTGCATCTGCTGCCTACTTATACTTACGCTGTGATCAGCGGCAGCTGGATGCAATAATCGCATGCCAATGTGCATAGGCTCGTTTAGTTTACACTCGAAGTAGATTGATCTCTATAAGCGAGATCCCAATTCGTCGGTCATCCGACGTGACGTCTCCGTTCCCTCCTTCAGGGAACGAGGGTTACCATACATAACTGAGACATTACTTGTAATGCGTTACCCCCAACACTGCTCATTTGTGATTTTTTTTTCTACTATGGGAAAACACAAATGAGCTGCAAACCACAAACACATTAAAAAAATCCTTAGGTTTTAGAAACCCTGCAGCAGATCAAGCATCCTTGTTGGCACCTAAGCCCAGCTCTACCCATGATGACCCGGCCATGCCTGCTGTCAGTGGCCCCCCTCACTTCAGATTAATTAGGAGGAGAGTGGATTTATGGCTAGCGAGGGATGATGCAGTGTGTGAGGTGTCCTGTAGCTGAAGCGGGGCGGCAGTGATGGGGTCAGAGCCGAAGATCTCGCCTCTCTCCTGCTCTCTAATAGCTCAGGTGGGAGATGCTTATTAATGAGCGTCTCCGTGGCAATGTGTGGCACATAAATAACAGAGCGGGGCACATTGCTTCCCATCTCCACCAAATGAATTATCCGCACATTCTTTCCCACGCTAACACAGAGTTTTATATGAGTGGGTCACGGTTAACACAATGAGTAAACTAAATAATAACACTGTGAGTAATAAGAAATATTAGACTGTGGGTTTGCGAGCAAACCCCTCACCTGAGTGTTTAACTTCAGCACGTAACTCATCCTGCACGTGAATGATGACTCAAAACACACTGTTTGCTCAAGAAAAGGAGTGCTACTGCTTTTCTCAGTGATCATGCTTATAATTCTTGCCTGGCAGAAAGTGAAAACAATCTCACAGCCTCATATTGCGGGAAACCAACCCAGATCTAGAGACCAGAATATCATAGGCTAAAATTGAAAAGCAATAATTTCACATGCTACCTAAAAAGTGCACCTTAAAGTGCTCACACGCAATTGACTCTAGAGTGTGGCATTAGGATGATGCTAAGCTAAATGTTTGACACTGCATTAAGCACAAAAATGCATATGCCTAACATTCACTTACAACTGATTCCAATGGTGTTTGCTCTTAAATGTTGCTAAGCTAACTGTGTACTGTGTGCTAATAAGCATAAAATTATATATCAGTTACTTTCAGTTAATTCCAATAGTGTTTGGTGTTAGCATGTTGCTAAACTAACTGTGTGACATGCTAATAACATAAAAATTGCATATCAGTCACTTTCAGTTAATTCCAATAGTGTTTGCTGCTAGCATGTTGCTAAACTAACTGTGTGACATGCTAATAACATAAAAATTGCATATCAGTCACTTTCAGTTAATTCCAATAGTGTTTGCTGCTAGCATGTTGCTAAGCTAATTGTGTGAAAAGCTAATAAACATAAAAACACATAATGGTTACTACTTTCAGTTGATTTCAATTGTGTTTGGTATTAGCATGATGTTAAGCTAACTGTCTGACACTCTTTTAAGCATAAAAGTGCATAGGCCTACCCCTCATTTACTGCCTACTTAATAACTTCTGCATCAGTTACAAAATATTATTACTTGCCTATAAGGCCCTTAATGGGTTAGCTCCTGCGTACCTAACTAGTCTACCACGCTACAATCCATCACGCTCCCTAAGGTCGCAAAACTCTGGACTTTTGGTAGTACCTAGGATAGCAAAGTCCACTAAAGGAGGTAGAGCTTTTTCATATTTGGCTCCCAAACTCTGGAATAGCCTTCCTGATAACGTTCGGGGGTTCAGACACACTCTCTCTGTTTAAATCTAGATTAAAGACACATCTCTTTGGCCAAGCATTCAAATAATCATCTCATAATCTTGTACTGCAGTTATATCTGATCAAATGCACATTATTCTTCTTTAGTTTGGGTTAAACAAATCAATTTGCTTGGTTGGAACAGCAGCTTTTTTGCTATAAGCTTAGTGTTTGGTGTTAGAATTTTGCTATAAGCTAAATATGTGTCATGTAATCATAGATATTTATAGCTAGATGCCCTATTAGTGACTGTTTCTATGGGCCGCTATACGTCTTCCATATGAGAATGTCCGTGAACACTTGGTGCATTGCACGGCAACTGTAGTTATACGCATGTATGAATATTTATATCTTCAGTAGACTTCAGAAGATGCTTTTGCTAAACTAACACAATACAACAAGACGAAGCCGTTAGCTAACAAGGCACTTAAAAGGTACTTCAGTTTAAAAACCTGTAATATTGAGTTAATACATATTAAAAACACAAACCAACATGTTCTTATCTGTGACAAGTTATCCAGTTTCTTCGTGAATTTTTCAGGTTTTTACAACTAGATGCTGCACAATGCTGTTGCATTTTGAAACTCATTGAGTGTTATTGTGAGTGACGACATACTGTTCCAAGATGGCAGATGTGTCAACATGTCAACATTTATCGAATGTGGCATCTATAAATACATATCTATGCATGTAATCCCTGTTGAAAAAACCAGCATATGCTGGTTAGGTATGTTTTGACGCTGGGATGCTGGTTTAAGCTGGTCCTTTGCTGGTTTATGCTGGTCCTTTTGTTTAAACCAGTTTAAACCAGCAAAGGACCAGCTTAAACCAGCATCACAGCGTCAAAACATACCTAACCAGCATATGCTGTTTTTTTCAACAGGGATAAGCATAAAAATACCTAATGGTCACTTGCAGTTGATTCCAATAGTGTCTGCTGTTAGCATGTTGCTAAGCTAACTGTTTGATACTCTATTAAGCCCAAAGTATAGTTTGTTTTTATGTGTACTTGAAGGCCCGTGTACTATGTGCACAATGCAAAATTTGTCACCAGAATAGTATATGCGTACTGTATGCACACCACCCAATATTTATAGGTCGCACATGCATATTTAATTTATTTTGCACTAATCATTTGTTTCACAAGGTGGCAACACTGACAAGCGCTTGTGTGAGAGGATAATGAGATAGCAACAACTTTATTTTAAAAGAGTACAAAGACATTTTTATCGGTCATAACTTCCGGAGAAAAAGAGCACAGGCACTGGACAAACATGAAGCTTTCTAGAGCGCCTGTGTTCATGCACACTATCAAATGGAGTATACTTTGAAAGGCTATGCGTTTGACTGTACACATACAAAAACAAAGCTTACTTTGGGCTTTAATCATAGGACCAACAATCACTCACAACCAATTCCAATGGTGTTTGCTGTGTGACATAAAAATAATAATAAACATAAAAATGCATAACAGTCACTAACAATTGAATCCTAATAGAACATTGCGCAATGCCAAGTTAACAGTTTGATACTGTATTAAACTTAAAAATGCATAGGCCTCATTTACCATTGATTCTAATAACGTTTGCTGTTAACATGTTACTAAGCTACGGTGTGACATCCTAATAAACAAAAATACACTTGATAAGCTATTTTTTTACTTTATTGATATATTTCGGTATTGAATGACGTGGACATACACTGTAGGTAATACTTTACAATAACATTCTATTTGTTAACATTAGTTACCTACATTAGTTAACATGAACTAATAATGAAAAATATTTCTAAAGCATTTATTACTCTAGGTTGATGTTATTATCTACATTAACTACAACATTTTTAAAATCAAAAGTTGTATCTGTATTTAATAAACCTTACCGAACATGAACTAACAATTAAGTTACATTTATTTTAAAATAACATTAAAAAGGTGAATAGATACAAATATACTGCTCATTATAAGTTAATGCAAGTAATGTTAACTAATGAGACCTTTATTGTAACGTGTTAGCCATAAATTTAACTTTTTTTTTTTCAACTTGTCTGCAAGTTTGGATGTATTGGTGATGTTGACAACTGCGATATCCTCTGTAACCCTTTTGTAAAATCAAACAAATTTAAAAACAATAATTATGGACGATACGCTTGCTGGAAGTGTAAAGCATGGATCTTATATCAGGTATAACTCAGTTTTAAATGAAAACAAATGTGATCAGTTTACACACAATCCGTGAGTGTAGGCCTCATTCCAGTCTATGTGTAATAAACGCATGTATAGTAAAGTGTTCATGGAGCGAGGTAGAGGTGGATGTGTGATGATAAACACGTCTGCAGATGAAATGAGAGCACATTAAAGTCCAGATGGCGAAAGGAGAATATTAACTCAAGAAGCTGCTGCTCAATTACTGCACTTTGTTTCCATGAGTTGAAGCTCACTGTTAATCTGCATTTTTTTATTCCCGTCATAAAACATCGCACAGAGAGACGCCACAGTGAACGCCAACCTGGTGATAGCTTTTATGTCGCCTTCATTCTATTACAAAAAGATACAACACTTAGTTAAAAAAAACCCTATGGAGAAACATTCCATTTTTCCATAACTGGTAATTAAATGTTCTTCAAATGAGTTCATTGAAGTCATGGCGTTCATTTGTGCTAAGCTTGGGATTTAATAGACTTTGTTAAACAGGGATTGCGAGTGAATATTAAGCTAGTCACCCACTGGGATTGTATAATGAATTAATGTCGCCATAATCCCGATAATGGTGGATTACTTTTCATTCAATAGCTTTATTAAAGTTCAATGGAGAATGTTTATGTCTAGCACACCTATCATGATGAGACTGAAACAGATCTTATCTCATATTAACCTATCCATGACATTAAAGGAATATCCGAGGTTTAGAAGCAAAAATTTGCGTTGCAGTGCATTACATACAATGGAAGTGAATACATCCGATCTGTAAATGTTAAAATATTTCTTGTATGGCTACAAATAAACATTAGCATTGGGGGTAACGCATTACAAGTATTTTATTCACTGACGTCTCTCCTGTCCCGTGGTGAGCGAACTTGGGAGTGAGTGCAGAGTCACTTTTAATAATTTCACTTTTGGTGTGAAAGGGTCTTTACAGTTGACAAAAATATAACGTTTGGGTTTTTTTGATATTAAAAAAGAAATAAGCAATCCCTGCCCAGGTGATACATAGTAACGCAAAAGTAAAGTAATGGATTACTTTCCATAAAAAGTAACTAAGTAACGCAGTTAGTTTTTATTGAGTAACTCGTGATTTCGCATGCATTCGTAGAAAAAGATAACATTTTTAGGAAAGATTAAACCGACAGTGGGGTGTAAGCAGATCATACGAAAACATACAAATTAGTTTGTACAAATTCGTATGAATTTGGGAGAATAGTTATATATTGCCATGAGACTGTGTTGGTATATAGTTTAACTTAAACATGAAAATTATGTCTTCATTTATTCACCCTCATTTCATTCTAAACCCATAAGACTTGGGCTCATCTTCAGAACACAAATGCAGATATTTTTAGTATTCTCTCATGATTTCAATCCATCCATTTAAAGACTATGCTACCATAATTATCATGCATCAAAAATTACAAAAAACTTTATAAAAGCAATCCATATCCACGATGCTCTTGTATGTATTGTATTGATCAATGTTTATACATGACCTAAACTGCTCAATTCATAAGAATTACACTACTTTTACAATGTCTTACTGTACTTTTTGAAGAATGCAAAGTGTTTCTATGGACTTTCAATGGATGGGCAAAAATGATGAAAGGGCATTAAAAATATCTTCATTGGTTTTGCGAAGATGAATGAAAGTATTATGGGTTTGGAACGACACGAGTAAATATATGAACTACCCCTTTGACATGCTTTTAGTAGGAAAAAGTCTCTTATAAACCCTTCACGTGAAAAGTTATACCAAATTTTATGTTTGCATGACAAACAGAGAATCACAAACCCTAAAACTCTTAAAAACCTTAAAACTATTGTACAATTGATGACTGAAAACTATAAACTTTAATAATTTAGCCCCATTCCCTTCCGTTGTCTCAGCTATTTATGTATGTATGTATGTATTCATGCATCTATTTTTTATTTTAATTGAGCTTAACTTCTTTTGATCCCAGAACATTACTTCAACTGTTGTACATCATGTGAGTTGTACAATAAAAAAAATAATACAAATAAATCTAGTGCAATACATAAATTATATATAAAAAACAACTGATCTTATTAAAGGTATTTGCTCAGGCAAGCAACACTATTACGATGGGCTGTGGCACCATTATGGGCGAGTATAGCGCCAAAACCTACTAAAACAGGCCAAACCATCCCATAGACTTGCACTGATAGAGGAACTCAAGCCATATTGAGCCCTGAGACTTGGTGGGCTGTAATGGAAAATAAGCAATTACACAGAAACACCCTTGCAACCACTTACAACACCCTTATCATAATGGTAGTGTGTTTTACTCTTCACATTCAAACACCCCTGATATTTATTTAGAAAATGTAAAAAATGAGTTCACATTATTATCACTTTTATTGATCAGCCAAACTCCCACTGCAATACAGACCGTTTTTGAGTGGACTAATATTGATTGCTGTTTAAATATGAATTTGCTTCTAAAAGGCTTGCGATGAAGCCATTTTCGCATCTTCAGTTCAGACATCATCTATTCCTGGATCGTGTCGTTTTGTGTAAGTCTGATCAAGGACATCACCGCTTCGATAAATATGAGAGGAAAACGTAAAGATGCGCAGGTTTTGAAGGCCCATTGACGTCCGTGGGGTTACGGCTCACAGAAAAACAAATCGCAAGCTCTCGCTCACAGCTGAGGCCATTGCTCAAAACAATGGGAGAACTCAGTAATGGTTACAATAATTAAATGTATGTGGATGAACTGTAAATCATTCAGCCAGTTATTTTTAAACAATATTCATCAGTATTCTCAAGGGGGGTGAATTCAGAAAGCTCATAAAATCTCTCATTAGCAAAGACCTTGGTAATGTGCTCATATGAACATGAAGAGCCAGGAAATGGGATATGATGAATCTTAGTAGATTAGAGGAAGTCTCTCTCTCTCTCTGTCATTGATCAGAAGGGTCTCCCGCCCCCACAGCAATCGCTGCTACTCATGAAACACTCTGAAAAGAAGCAAATGCTCTTCAAATGTTAACAAATCAAGTTCATTTTCATTACAATGTCCTTGTCTCTACAATTACAATGGTTATACAATAATACAGAAAGCATAACTGTGACATAACCTGACTCAACACCACCATTACAAGCATTCCCTGAAGAAGTGCTAGCATCTAAATTAACCAGATTAAAGTACAAAAAAATTTTTTTACATGAATGAATCAACCTAAATACATTAATTAATACCAGCAAACTCATTCTCATGGTTCAAATCATCAGGTAGAAACTATTATTTTAGTATCACTGACATACTGCTATAGTTTTTGTTAAAGGGGTCATATGATGCTGCTAAAAAGAACATTATTTTGTGTATTTGGTGTAATGAAATGTGTTTATGCGGTTTAAGGTTCAAAAAACACATTATTTTCCACATACTGTACATTATTGTTTCTCCTCTATGCCCCGCCTTTCTGAAACGCGTCGAATTTTACAAAGCTCATCGTTCTGAAAAGCAAGGTGTGCTGTGATTGGCCAGCTATCCAGTGCGTTGTGATTGGCCGAATTCCTCAAGCGTGTGACAGAAATGTTACGCCCCTCACCATACTGTGATGCCCTGTCCAGCCGGAGCGACGAGACAAAAACATGAAAACCCATTATAAATGAAGCATTTGTTGCATCCAGTGGGGACATAATTACGGATTATGACTTATACTGTCTTTTTACGTGTTGCGTTGCATCGCACCGCGTAAACATAAAACCATGTCTGCATTTGTGATCGGAGAAATGACAAACAACAAGCCCTACTCTACACTGCCCAAAAAACTCGCTTTAAATATATAAAATATAAAAACTCTTTAAATATAAAAAATGTACTTACAGTCTGTGAGTCAGAACAGCCGGCATTGTAGTCTACTCTCCCAGGATCAGGAAACAGTCCTCCATAAAATGTGCTGCACACATCTGAATATTTGTGTCGAAGTGTTCTGGAACAGTGTTGTAAATACAACTTAACCACTGAGTGTCCATTTTTGAAAGGCCAAACAAAGTGGTTTTGCTTTTACAACGAAACACAGCGGGGGTAGGGTTAGGATTAGGCAATCAGGTAGCGACTTCAACGAGGGGGTGCATAATCTGGCAGGGGTGCAGAATTCGGCACAACAGCGGCAGAGGTGGCGGATTCGACGTAGGAGCTTGCAGCAACCACATGTGACGACCCCGGGCTGGACTCTGCTTCGTCCCCTGCCCAAGAGGGTTAAGGCAGTGCTGGAAAATAATGGTGGCCACACAAAATATTGACACTTTGGGCCCAATTTGGACATTTTCACTTAGGGGTGTACTCACTTTTGTGGTCAGCGGTTTAGACATTAATGGCTGTGTGTTGAGTTATTTTGACAGCAAATTTACACTGTTATACAAGCTGTACACTCACTACTGTACATTGTAGCAAAGTGTCATTTCTTCATTGTTGTCACATGAAAAGATATAGTAAAATATTTACAAAAATGTGAGGGGTATATATATATTTGATTTTTAATTTTAATTTTTCTGTCATGACAACTCTCGGAGGGATTGGCATGGTAATGTACATGACAATGATAATGTATTTGGTCTTGGTGGAATAGATCTGCTACACTGCTGCTGCGGCAGAGCAAGTACCGAGACTTCCTACTGCCAATACATCAACAACATGCTGCTGTGGGTATGTAAGAATTACTGCTGATGCACATATAACATACATGAAATAACCCCATATAGCATACATGAATCACCTCGTAGCAGATCTATACAGGTGGAGCTGGGGAAGGTGGAGGGTTTCTGAAGCAAGCTGCAACTGCTACGGCTATCACTAGTCATATATTTGAATGTTGAGCAGCGAGCTCATTGGCTACCGATACAGGAGAGAACCAATAAGCTGTGCCATGTGATAATGATGTCATTATGTCAGATTGAGTTAGACCTATCGGACTGCGTCATCTAGAGTTTCATGCCAGAACTCTGTATATGTATATACAGTATATCCATATAGATAAAATAAAGTGTTACCCCACTTTTTGCAGTGTTTATCTGCTTGCATTCTTCCAGTTATTAAAAAATAAAGGAAAGTTTCATGAAACCTGTCAAAAAACATGATAACTTTAGCTATGATGCATTTAACTAATGCTGTGTTAAAAAGCAATAAATAAAAAAAATACAAATAAAAAATAATTGCATTTTAATTGTATTATATATTTAGATTAAAATCAAATTATATATATGATGAACATCGACATTCTCAATGAACATATACTATGTGTGGGGAGCATTCATTCAATATCGTTATCTAATTTTTGACCAAGATGGCTTTTAGAGGGTTTTGCATTGGAACTCTTCATATATATATATGCAATATATTACACAACCGAATACTTTAATAAATAAACCTCTAACAAGCACAACCTAGTAAATACAGCTCTTACACACACACACATGCAACAATATAATATAATATTGCACAATTTACATAATGTATTACACAAGTGAAATGAATGAATCCTTAAAATCAGGCTCTGACAATACAACCTAGTAAACACAGTTCTTTCATCAGGTGATGTATTCGAAATGACGTACACACTGTGGATTTATAAATCATGACAGCGCATAAAATCTCAATCTCATTTGTTTTATTCATGTAAACAGTATGTTGGGTTTCACCCCACAGCATAAGCTGAGTATAAATATTTCACGGCATCAGTGTTAGCTGTAAGACGCCAATTAGCAGATGTGTTTTATCTGAAGTGCACTAATTGCAGGGCTGTTATGTTTACATGTTTATGATATATCAATATACCACTTCTGTGATGCTAAAAGTATGTTAAAATGACAGAAAACATTGTGGGACAAGTATGTTACATCAGGGCAATAATAATTATATTCCCATTGCAGAAAAAATAGGCAAGAATATATATTGTTTTCATATCTGGGACTCTTTATTTCTCTTGATTGTTGAGCAGTTATACAGTCAGAAGGGACATAAATTAAATATTTATTCAGCGCTTTCGAACGGCCTCCGAAGGCTTTTGTTGGGTGATCTAATTAATGAAATAATATGTTGACTTTCTAGGTTTGGGTCCCCGAGAACAGTCACTGAGACTAAGAGAATATTTACTTCCTTTTGGGACTCTGGGCTTGTATTTATTTTTATTTTTTACGCTGGCGGCTTTGTAGTTTGCGTGTCTTCCTGGCGTGGCTTTTCCACAGAGAGCTCGACCACATTTCAATATCTCCCGTGAGAATCGTCTTCCTTATTGTCTGCTCTCATGAGCCAACGCTGCTCTAGGAGAGAAATCCTGTTTATTAAGAAACCCTCCAGCAAAGAGTGGCGTTTTGAGCACTTAAAGAGATACACGTGTAGTGCTTGTGCACGCAGTCTATTTAACAGCAAAATACAGACGTGTAACAAGCAATACTCTACATTATTGTGCTCGTGTTACATATACTACACGCTATTACAATTCATTACTTTAATAAAAACAAGAACAATGTGTAATTACAAGCTGCTCAAATAATTACTAATTAATTACATGTTGTCCATTAATATTACTCCGTCCTTAACTATATGATTAACACTGTGACATGAGCATTAATGGAAAATGTGGCCATATATCAATAAAGAAAAAAAGATCAACACACCTCATACTAAAGTGATCTAAGTATATGACTAAATAGTTTGGTCATCAAAAAAATTAATAAATAAAAAATTATCTTTTTTTGGTTTGACATATATATGTGTGTGTGTGTGTGTGTGTGTGTGTGTGTGTGTGCAGTCATACCAAAAATTATTCAGACACCAGATATATATTTTTTTTTTTTACTGATTAAAAAATTTCTGAACTTTTACTATTTTTTTTATTATTTGGGGTGCAGGACACTGTAGTTCATTTATGTAAGTGAGGATAGCAAAATAAAGTAAACTGTGACATACAGTATTATACCCAAAAATTCTTCATACAGTGGACTACCAGTAAAACTGATCAAAATTTGGGACCAAAAATTATTCAGACACTTTGACCTGACCATGTTTTGCTTAAGTGTTTTTTTCTTCTTTTCTTTAATTGCTAATGCTTTTTACGCCACAGACTGAACAAAACGAAGCATTGCTTGGTAATTGGTTGACCTAAATTGTTATTATCTAATTGTGTACTTAAATATAACAGCTATTCAACTGAATTCATTAAATTCAAATATCAAGATGAATTTGTTAGTTCTTGTCATATTTTATTACCATTTTCGAAACTATAGCGTAATGTGAGAAATGTTGAAGGTGCCTGAATAATTTTTGGTTTGACTGTATATACAGTATATATATATATATATATATATATATATATATATATATATACACACACACACACACACACA